GTGTGTGTGTGTGTGTGTGTGTGTGTGTGTGTGTGTGTGTGTGTGTGTGTGTGTGTGTGTGTGTGTGTACGTCTGTGTGTGTATGTGTGTGTATGTGTGCGTGTGCTCGTGTGTGTGCCGGTCTCCCTGTCTGCCTATCACACACACGCACGCACACACACACACACACTCTCTCTCTCTGCCCTCGCCACTTCCACCAGACGTGACACGTTACGACTGACTCCTGTTACTCCCACTCTGCGGGTTTGTTCACCACAGGGCAACATTGTGCTGACAGACCACGCGTACCAGACTCTGGCGCTGCTCCGCGTTCGCAAAGACGACGCAGATATCCGCTATGCCGTCGGCGAACGCTATCCCATCGAGGCGGCACGCCAACCACAGCCCGTTACCATGCAACGGTGAGTGCGTGCGTGTGTGTGTGTGTGTGTGTGTGTGTGTGTGTGTGTGTGGAGTCAGTTTGGTGTGTGTGGAGTCAGTTTGCTGCCTCTATTGCACTTGCCTCGCACCTCCTCCTCTCCTTGTGTTACTTCAAGACGCTCCTTGAACTCACATACTCACGCCCTTGCGTTTCTTGCGTGCAGGCTTGAAGAAGCGATGGCCAAAGCCAAAGACGGCGACCCCCTGCGCAAGCACCTGACACGCATCATGGGTGAGTGGCCCCGATATCGCTGACAGTGCACCAGACCTGTGCCGTATCATGCCCTGTGTTGACGTGCAACTCAACGCCTTTTCGTTAACTCCACGTGCGCAACTGCCCCCCCCCCTCATCTTGTCGCCATCGTGCAGACTGCGGCCCTGCGTTTATCGAGCACTGCCTGTTGGAGGCTGGTTTCCCGCCAAACGCGAGAGTGAATGAGGGCTGCAATGTTGCCACGGATCTGCCACGTGTGCTGGCGGCGCTGCAGCAGGCAGAGCACCTCCTCTTCACCAAACTTGAGCAGGGCCAAGTCAAGGTGCGCACGTGCGTGTGTGGGAGTGTGTGCGTGTGTGTGTGTGTGTTTGCCTGTATCTGTATGTGTCTGTACCTGTGCGTGTGTGTGCGTGTGTCTGTGTGTCTCGAATCGCTGCCTACTTCACGGTCGTTTTCACCACCACCCGCCACCTCTGGCTGTGCAGGGCTATATTCTGCTCAAGGCGCACGCGAAAGCAGATGCTCGCAAGGTGAGCACACACAAGCACACACACACACACATCCACATCCACATCCTCGTCTTTGTGAAGCGATGTCAACATTGTCCTCTCAACAAATCATACATTCTCATGACCACTACTACTGGCCACCATCACCATCGCTACCACCCTACCCCCCCCCCATACACAGGACGCGGCGAAGGAGGAGGTTGTTGTGTTTGAGGACGTAATGCCGTTTCCCCTCAAACAGTTTGAAGGCCGCACCTTCAAGGAATTTGATAGGTGCGGCCCCCCCCCTCTTGCGGTGTGTGTGTGTGTGTGTGTGTGTGTGTGTGTGTGTGTGTGTGTGTGTGTGTGTGTGTGTGTGTGTACAGCTGCCGTCGACTTTGTTCGCTTTCCTTCACCTCACCTCACCACTCCTCGCCTCACCTCTTCTCACTCACCTCGTCTCTCCTCATGCCCCCCCCCCTCTTATCCCGCCCCACCCCACGTGTCCAGTTTTGATGTTGCGGTTGACACGTACTTCTCCGAGATTGAGAGCCACAAGCTTGAGATGCGTGCGCTGCAGCAGGAACGCGCTGCCCGGCAGAAGCTCGAGCAGGCCCGCCGGTCCCATCACGACCGCGTCAAGGTTGGATGACGAGGAGGAAAGGGGTTGGAGTGTGATGGAGGAGAGAGGGCATTGGGTTGGTGTGGCGATGGTGGGGTGCATAAGTTTTGTGTAAGCAACTGTGCGTGTGTGTGTGTGTGTGTGTGTGTGTGTGAGTGTATGTGTGTGTGTGAGAGAGAGTGTGTGTGTATGTGTGTGTGTGTGTGCGTCTTCTGCACACGATCACCGTCGTCGCGTCTGTATCGCCGCCGGTAGGGGTACAAGGAGGCGCGTCTTGAGGACGAGTACAAGGCCACGCTCATCGAACTCAACCACGAACTGGTTCGTATGTTGTGTGTGTGTATCTGCCTACTTATCTGCCTACTTATCTGCCTACTTATCTGCCTGCCCATCTGCCTGCCTGCCTGTGTGTGACATCATAAACTCACGTGCCACGCGGGCATGGTGTGCAGGTGAATGAGGCGATTGATGTGATCAACAAGATGGTTGGAAACCACCTCGACTGGCGTGAAATCGAGGAACTCGGTACACCTTGCCTGCAGCCACTGCTCTGCACTGCATGTGTGTGTGTGTGTGCGTGCCTGTCTGTATGCCTGTCTGTGTACGTGTTTGTGTCGAAGGGTGGTGCCCAATAACCGCCAACCTTCACGAGCCACTCCTACCCTCCCTCTCCTCACCTCGCTCACCTTGTCTACTGCATCACTCCTCGTTTTGTGTGCAGTGCAAGAGTCGCGTGTGCGGGGCGACCCCGTTGCCAACGCCATATCCAAACTGAAACTCAAGAAGAACGCCATCGTCATGCACCTCACGTATGTTGGGACCTCCCCCAATGACGCAACACAGCCTGCTCACAATGAGCCCTACCCTCCGTCTCACCACGCAAAAAACAACACCAGCTCCACTGTGTTCCACTGCTTCGTGTGCGTGCGTGTCTGCTTGCGTGCTTGTGTTTTTTTTTTTGTTCTTCACTAACCAACCCCCCTCCCCTTTCCCTGTGCGCTTGCCCCCCCCCCCTTCTCTGTGCACCAGAGAGCCGTCGATGGGCGGTGCTGACGATGACAGCTGGTCGGATGAGGACGAGGACGAAGACGAAGGTGAGACAAGTTTGGGTTTGATGGCATGCACCACGCGTATATATTACATCCCTGACATCATGATTTGATCACCACTGCATCCTCTCGCTTCTCGCGTGCGTGTATGATCACTCCCCAACTCTCCCATTACGTGTCCATTACCCCGGTGCCCTCGTACCAAAGACGACAACACAAAGGTGCGACATACACCTGCCACATTTGACACACGTCTGCCGTTCCCATCTGCACGTGTCGCATTTGTTGTTGCCACCCCCGCCAGCTTTCTCATTACATCTGCACGTTCCTCTACCCCCCCCCCCCAACCACCCCACCACCTTCCACGTCTACCGGATCATTCCCGCCTACTGAAGGGGGCGCTGGTTGAGATTGACCTGGCAGAGACGGCGCACGGCAACGCCAGAAAGGTGTGCCCCCATACCCTGTGCACGCAGCTGTGATTTGATGTACTTGTCGACATAGACGATGGATGGATGAAGTGTTTGGGAAACATGCTGTCACATCACGTCGCACCTCACTCGACTGCACGCGGTCCTCTCCACCCCTTTGTCAACATCCTCATCCCAACATCCTCATCACCATCGTTACCATCGTTACCATCACCGTCATGTTGACGCATTTGCGGCGGCAACGCGACAGCTGCACGAGCGCAAGAAGACGATCCGCAGCAAGGAGGAGAAGGCCCTCGCCTCCACAGAACAGGTTCCAGCAGCTGCCTGAACACACCCACCTGTGCACGTGTGCGTGTGTGTGTGTGTGTGTGTGTTTGTTCTTTCCTTCAGTCATCTTCTGACAGCCGCGTCATTGATTGTTGTCGTGCATGCATGCATGCATGCATGATCGCTGCTCAGGCACTGAGGAGCGTGGAGAAGCGCGCAATGGATCGTCTGAAGAGTACGTCATGCCACATCACTCCTCGTCTGCACCACGCACACCTCCCCTCAATATGACACCTGCCAACACTTACTTGCTTACTTACTTCCACCCATCACGGCTGACTGCATCACAACACATACGTTCATGCCCACGTCTTTCGTCTGCTTGCGGTTGCAGAAACGCAGATCACGGCGACCATCTCCAAATCGCGGGCGCCGCTCTGGTTTGAGAAGTTCAACTGGTTCATCAGGTGGGCGATGCCGCTGTTGCTGTCTGCGCCACACACACACACACACACACACACACACACACACACACACACACACACACACACACACACACACACACACACACACACACACGTTGTAGCTTGTGCAACCCTGACACAAGCCACACACCACCATCGCCATTGATTGATGGAGCAGCTCGGAGAATTACCTGGTGCTGGCGGGCCGCGATCGTCTGCAGAACGAGGCGCTCGTCAGGAAACACCTCACGCAACGTGCGTGATGGTTGCGGTTGCGGTGGTGATGGGAATGTGATGTGCGGTCTGTTTGCGACGCGATGAGACCCATGGTGTTGCTGGCATCCGTGTCCACCCACTCGCTTACACACACACACACACACACACACACACACACACACACACACACACACACACACACACACACACACACTCCCCCCCCCTGCTCCCCTCACTCGCATTCGTCTGTCCAGACGACTTGTATGTTCATGCGGACATGAATGGCGCGAGCAGCGTCGTCGTCAAGAATTCAAACACGGGCGAGATCCCGCCAAAGACCCTCAGCGAAGCTGCAACGTTTGCCGTCGCACACAGTGCGTTGTGTGTGTGTGTGTGTGTGGGTATGT